TTGATTGAGTTGCTGGCGAAGGCATGCACAGAGGCTCCGGGTGTGCTCGCAACTGCGGGATGGACCTGGCTGTCGATCAGGCAAAGCTCAGTGAGGCACGCAGGCGGCGGATCTGCAATGATCAGCTATGCTTTCGGCGAGGAATTCGGCTGGCAGGCCACAAAGTTTTCGGCGAGAAATCCAACGGGCAGGCTTAATAATTTTGGGCGAGTTCCTCCGCAAGGGGCTCTCCCAAAAGTCAGGATCTCGGCGAGCAATCTCGGCGAGTTGCGCTGAGCGGCTTGGCTAGCGGCTGGCTGCGAAGCACGAAAATCTCTCCTTAAGGCCCAGTTCCACCAAGCCCTGCTTTCGGAGAGGCCCTCGCAGAGGGGCTCTCCTTGAGAGGGGGGTCCGGCCGACTTTTTGGAGAGGCGACTGCATCGCGCCCCGAGTTTCTCTCCCAAAAGTCGGCCAGATCGACAGCCAGGTCCATCCCGCAGTTGCGAGCACACCTGGAGCCTCTGTGCATGCCTTAGCCAGCAACGCAATCAAGAAACTCTCATCCTGCGAAAACGGCCCATGTTCTTTGAATGGCCGGCAAGGTAAAGCCATGACATACACAGCTAAGTCTCGTTTCGACCAAACAACCAACCTGGCGAAACAACCAAGTTGAGCGAATGTTTTTATATGTTTTTTAAGGGTACCCCTAAACCCGAGCCCCTAATATCGACCATGGCACAGGCCTACCTGATGCTGGAGTTCTACCCCGATGCTCGGGACCTGATTTTGGAGCGCTCCGTGAAGGGCTCGCTCTCCTCTTCCTCCCTCAGAAAGGGCCACTCCGCTCCTCGGAGGGAAGTGGCGTAGCTTCCTTCAGCTGGAACTGACACTGGGTCCCCAAGTAGTGCCCTTTCTCACCGCTTTTATTGGTTGGGAGTGTTCTTCTACTAAACTGGGCTACCGAAAAAAAGGGTACCCTTATTCTAACCTCTCTAGAAAAGGATTTAGGACATGAGGGGTTTGGAAGACGACCTTCCATTTTTGGGGCAACCCCCTGTCCACTGAAGCTTAGTAGGTTAGAACCATTTTTTGTACGGGAGCTCACCACAGTTTCCCCCAGTTCCCCCGCTACCCCAAGTAATTAGAGACTGCAACAAGTGGGCTGATCCGCCTTCCAGGATTGGAAAGAGGGTACTCCTTCAATCAAAGGCTGGAAGTACAATCCCCATAGCACCCATGCCAGGTTGGACCTTTGTTGGGGCTGGTTTGTCATGATTGTCGCCTTGCAGGTTTGTTGGGAAAAAAGCTTGGGATTCATGCCAGGGGTTCATACAACAAAGTTCGCGAGGAGAGTCCGGCTTGTCCTCTTGGTGTGTTTCAGTATCAAAGTCGCCCAGTGATAGGTTGCATGCTCAACTTCCCTGGGAAGCAGTGAAACACGTAAGCCCAGTTTGTTGTTTGTTGGAACAGAGTGGGAACAGGGAAGAACACCCAGACATCAGCAGTTCCGCCTGTCCTCGCCCAGAGGGGTGTTTAGCTGCTTTCTTTTTATTCCACAACAGCTGAAAGCTATGGGGTCTCTGCCCAAATAGGCTTTGGGGTGATTTGGACAGCTTTCAGGAGGGTTCTGGATGGTTCCAGGGGGCTCTTGGGCTGTTGGGGATATCATTTTATTATTATTATTATTATTATTATTATTATTATTATGTGATTAGCCATGGTTTATTTCATCACCAGGGATGTCGCGGTAGTGACTGACCTGTGGTGTTTGGCTCAAGTTTTGGGTTCCGTCGCGCCTCGAATGGGCGTCGCCGAACCCCTGCGTCGACCGACGGCATCTCGGGGGAGAAAGAGACCTCGGGCCGCCGCCAGGTTGGTAGGGACCAGTCGTGCGGCCTGTTGTCGACCAAGGTTGCGGGTTAACCCTTTTCTTGTTTTGGTTTTCCCTTTTGGTTGTTGTTCTCTGGTGTGTGGGAAACCCTGATCTTTGGGACCGGGGATTGGTTTGCTTTTGGGGAACCTTTCTTTTGTGGCTTGTTTACCCCAACTTACCCATTGCCTGGGCACAGGCTCGTGCCCGAATCACAGGTTATCAGCCGTAGGACTTTCCTACGCGCTTGAGACCATCAACTACAAGCTCTATGTCGACCCCACGATCTCGAAGGAGCGTCGTGGATGAGGAGGCCATCCTAGGTGGCCTCCGCTCAGGTGAGGACCTACCGGACTATGACTACGAGGATTTCGAAGCAGGTTCGACAGGTCAGGACCGCAGGGGTGAAGATCCCGGTAGGGATACACCCAGGGGCCGTGGCAGGTACGCCGACGATGGAGACGATCGTATTTTCCGCCAGGCCACTGATGACGAGCAGACACGAAGGGTTTACTCCGATAGGAGTGGCTCTGAATCAGGTCACAGGCGTGGACATTTTGACTTCACCAGCATGGCGATGGACATGGCCCGCCCTCATTCGGATGACCCGGAGGCCATGCCGATTCGACCTCCGAGATCTCTTGTTCCAGGTGAGTCGCAGGTCTCGGATGAGTTTGAGAGTAGGCCGCAGGGACCAGGGAACTATGGTTCTGGTTCCGGGAGGTATCCCGGGCCGATCCACTGGTTCTCAGAATCCAGGTCAGTTTGATGAGCACGAGGAGCGGAAATTCACGGACTTCGGATACGATGATCTGTTGAAATCAACCGCAGGTTGGGGCAGTAGCTCAAAGCAGGGATCTGATGCCGGTAGGCCCAACCCTAATACTGCCAAATCTGAGTCTTATGATGGCGAAGATTACAATTTTGCGGATGAGGAGGAGAGCCATTCGCGCCGAGATGCAGGCAGCCGTGAGACTGCAAGGACTAATCCCGCCGCTGCCAAGTTTGAGGTCGATGATGATGATGAGTATGCCGCGTTTGCGGATCGCCGTGATGAGGAGGAGGACCAACCACGACGAAATGCTAGGATCCGTGATGCTGCGAGGCCCAGGAGCCTCTCCCGTGGAGCCGTCAGGGACCTTCGTGTTGACAGGGACGCCAGAAGCGAGAGAGAGAGAGCCAGGGAAAGTCGGGAAGTTCTTCGGGGCCATTCATGACCGCGAGGGACCGGTAGGTCCCCCGGCTATTGGTGATTCCCCGAATGTTCCCCCCTTTCCCAACATCACATTTGGAGGTCCGTTGAGTCAGAGAGACGTGAGCTCGAACCGGGTTACTGGTTCACCGAGGATCACTGAGCGGGCTGCCGATGTTGTTAGGACAGGTGCCAGAGATGGTCGGCTTGCCGATGCACTCGGGATCGAAGATCGTCCGTCGATCGCTAGCCCGTTAGGGCGAGATACCAGTGATCTTGAAACTCTGAGGTCAAGCAACGAGTTCACACCTCAATGGGGTTCGACTGCCAGGGAACGTAGTGTTTCTGCAAAGAGACCGCCACCTCTCGCCGCTGAGACCGATAGGTCAAAGGCGAGGAGGGCTAGCCCCTCACCAATGGATTCAACTCCGCAGGATGAGGAGATGCCCGATCCCGCTGATGTTCACATCCACTCCACCCCCGAGTCACGTGCATCCAACATTGATCCTCGATCTGGCGATAGCCGGAGAAGGGGATCTACCCCGAGTAAACCATCCAGGATTGATGATTGTCCCGTGGATGACCCCGGAAGACATGCCGGGGCTAGTGGGGCTCCTGAGAGGATCGAGATATCGACTCCTCCCGCCCTCAGATCCCAGTCTTCCGGCGAATCAGCTGACGCTAGGGCGAAGGAGGTGTTCGATTTGCACATCCAGGAGATGCTCGAGAGAGGTGAGGTTTCCGGCTCAGTCGCGAAGGCGTTCCACATCTTTGCTGACCAAATCAGGGTACTGAACGGTCAGGTGAGTTCCATGCGAAGGGAATGGAGCGACGAGAGTCAACGGACAAAGGACAAGGTCGATCGCCTGGCAGCTGAGGTTGCGACCCAATCTGATGCCGGGAGGATGCGAATGATAGTTCAACGGTTCGCAAGGGAAGTTATTCCCGATAGCAAGGCCATTGTGAGGCAAGCCATCGATGAGCAAGCCGAGGTCGTGGAGCAGAGGATTAACCTACTGTCCCACGAGGTCCATGAATCTGTCAGGGACAATGAGGCATCGACTGATCGGCTTCGCCTGATGATTCAGGAAAATAGTGAGGCTGCCCGCAGAAGCCATGCTGCTTCTGAGGACGAGACCCTTAAGGATTTGGACAAGCTTGAGAAACGGATGTTCTCGGTAGAGAAAACCGTTGGGATGCGGACACCGGCAGGTGTATGGAACCCGAATCCTGTCGCGAATCTGTCCGATAGGGCCAGCAGCAGTGTGGTTGACGCGAATTTCAGGGAGTTAAACCTGAAGATTGAGGAAGCTCTCCTTGAACACGAGAAGTTTGCCAAGTGGGCCTCTGAATCTATTGAAGGGGTCAAAGAAGAGCACACTCGTCTTGTTAATCGAGTGTCTAGACTGCAGAGTGGAAGGGGTTCTCAGGAGGTCGATAGACCATCAGGGCATGATTCCCCGCAGGACTGGCATGAGGCTGTTGACGAGATCAATCGGAAGATGCATGATCTGGCTCGAGGAATTCAACGTCAACGTCGGGATCATGACGACATCATTTCGAGGTTTGAAACCGTGAAGTCACATGTTGAACAGTATGAAGCGAGATCGGCAATTGTGAATCGGGTCGTTGATGGCATCCAAGGGCAGATCCGTAATCTTCCTGCCAGCAGTGACCAAGTGCAGCCTGCCGTTAGGCGAGAGCTCGGCACATTCCGGAGCACACTTGAAGGTGTTATGCGGAGAGTCAGCGCTATCGATGGTAACGTGCGTAACCTTAGCGCCGCGAACAACAGAATCATGTCCCAGCTCTTTGAAATGGAGGGTCAATTTGACGAGGCTGCTGGCATGCTTCAGGGTGTCCAGCAGATTAATGAAGCTCCTCCACAACCCAGAGAAAGACGGAATGTTGGTTACCATGCGTTTGCGGGGCAAGGACATAGGATCAGGTCACCGACGCCTACACCAGGGGAAGGTGACGGCCGGGGTACTGGCCTGCCGGTGAGACCAGGCGGAGGCGTTGTTTTGCCTGATCATGTTTTGCCGAATGTGCCCGATAGGGTCGATCCTTCTCGCGCAGACAGGCATCCCATCTATCCCGTTAGGGAGAGGTCCGACAGCAGGAGCAGGAGGGTTCGGGGGTTGCCTGACAGGTCGCATTCGCCACCGGAGCGTGCAAGGGGTGGTCCCCGCGCGCGCGCAAGGGGGGACGTTTCTATTTCCCCCAATAGGGATGCGGGTAGGAATAGGAGCCCGAGGCCTGCTGCCGTCCCCGATAGGGGATCTGAGGCCCGGAGTCGACAACCGAGGGGGGAGAGGCCGATCCGCGATAGCGGGAGCGTCTCTCCGAATTTTGATAGGCCAATCCGCGATAGCGGAAACGTCTCTCCGAACCCAGGTCGTCATTCAGGAGGTGGTGGGGATAATAGGGCCCATGCCGACATCCAGAGTCCTGGTGATGAGTGGAGGACTCCTGGGAGCAGAATCAGCGCCGACAACCAGAGTCCCGGCGATAGGCGAGGGACTGCTGGAGCTCCTTCGGATCGTGTGCAAGAGGGGCTCCCGGCGGTGATGGCCCAGACGCGCCGAAGATTTGTGCCCTTGATGATCCCAACGACCGTAGGCACCCGAATGCTGAATTCTCGTGTATGACATGCAGTCGTGAGTTTTGCGGGCTTTGCCGTGGTGACGATGGGGACTGTTGCAATTGTCATTTCTTGAAGATGAAATGCTGGGCATGCCGCAAGAATGCTCAGGAGGTCTCCATGTATCTCTGTACGGA